TACTACACCTACTACACCTACTACAGGTACTACGGATACTACAGGCACTACGGATACTACACCTACTACAGGTACTACGGATACTACATCTACTACACCTACTACAGGTACTACAGGTACTACAGGTACTACAGGTACTACGGATACTACACCTACTACAGATACTACACCTACTACAGGTACTACAGGTACTACAGTACTACAGGTACTACGGATACTACATCTACTACACCTACTACAGGCACTTCGGGTACTACAGGTACCACGGGTACTACGGGTATTACACCAACTACATGTGCTGCACCTACACGGATCACTAAAGGTGACACCGAACGATGCAACACAACCACAACACACAACCCCAAGATAGTGCCATTTCGTGTGGTCATACATGAAGGAACGACCTGGAAGGGGGGATCATGTCTCGAGCTGACCATATGCTACAGAAGGCTCATTTATCCAAGATGGCGACCACGTCACCTTCAGTTCCTCAGCTGTTTAGCGAATTAGAAAGGCTAGGAAAAGACGGGAACTTCGCAAATGCTCAGAAAATTGCTAATAAAAGTAAGTTTAGTTACTGATTTATCGATTTGTGTAGTTTTTGTTTGATAATTATATTGTTTTTCTAAAGTTTTGCAAGAGAAACCAAACGACCCGGATGCCTTTCATTGTAAAGTGGTCTGCTTGATTCAACAATCTTGCTTTCGTGAAGGATTGGACGTGATCAACTCTGGTAGTAGGAAAGGGTAAGCTTAACTTTAGTATTACATATGTAAGATTCAAGTCTTGCTTCTAGTTTTCATAAACTGGCATTAACAGAGAGCACCACGAGTTAATATCACAATGGTAAAATTCTAAAGATTCTCAAGTGAACAATAATAATTTATCAGAATGGATATACTTTATCATTAACGTGCATTTTCACGGATCGCCGAAAAAAGAAATCAGGAACTCAAAATAGCGTTTTATAAAAGATTATTATTATTAATACTTTATCATCAGCTGTTATGTATTTTTTGTTTATCCAACTACATGTAGAATAAAAGAGCTGCCCTTTGAGAAAGCATATTGTCTGTACAGACTGAACAGAACTGATGAAGCACTTGATATCCTGAAGACCATACCAGATCAAGGACCTAGAGAAAAGGAACTCCTTGCACAAGTGGTATGTACATTGAATAGCATATACAGTAGTGTAGTATATAGTGTGCCATATTATTACTAGTAAGACAGTGCCTGCATTTTTGGCAAGGACCATACACTGTATGAAGGTGAAATTCTTTAGGCTATGTGGACTACCCCACCACCAATAAGGGCCCATGGTCTTCTGCTATATCTTCCTTGTTTAATACCTTCCATTCATCAACTTACAGTATTTCAATGATTTAATCATATTCTAGCAATATCGACTTGGGCAGTATGAAGAGTGTAGAAGAATCTACAAGGATTTGATTAAAAACTCTCAGGTAAATCAAGATTTAGGTATTTCTGTCATTGTCTTCTTTGTTTCTTATATAGTGATTCATTTATTACTAGTTATTGAAGTATAGAATGATATTTGACTAATACTGTTCATGGATAGGATGACTATGAAGATGAAAGAGAGACAAACCTGTCTGCTGTTGTTGCTGCTTCTAATCAGTGGGGATCTAATCAGAAATTGGTAAATACTAAAATACTAAAAATATTGTCTAAAAATGGCTTCACAGCAGTCATCATAATGAAGGGCTAAACAATACAAATATTTCTCTTTTGAGAAAAAAATGAAATCTCTCTTTAGTATGAAAATATTGTATTGTTTATTACTACTGACACATGCTAACTTTGTCCTGGAAAGCTCATTCATTAGTGAAATAAATCCTTTTTTTAGGTAGAGAATGGTCTTCGTGAGGACACCTATGAATTATGTTACAATTCTGCCTGTTTGTCGTTGGCGAATAATGAGTTTCAACCAGCAAAGAACAAACTCAATCAAGCTGAAGGTATGCCAGAAAACTGGATTTAGGAATTAATATGGGTCCAATAAATTATATTATCTTATTGATATCTTTTTTTCTTAGCTCTCTGTCGTAAAAGTCTTGAAGAAGATCCAGTAAGTTGTTGTTCAGTTTTTCATTTTGTGTATTCATTTCAGCATTTTAATATTTCTTTCTTGGAAATTCTTTTTTTCAATGATGATATTATCTTCATAATTTTGTTGTTGTATGCTTTGCAAGTTATATCAGTTGGTTTTAACTGTAATATTTATCTTTAGGAAACAACTGAAGAAGACATAGATACTGAATTGGGCGTTGTGAGGTAAAGAAAATTTTTCTTATTGAATTTACACTAGCTGATTCCGATGAGTGAAATTTTTAACACTGACATCACTCTGTTATCTGAATGTATACATAAATATTTTATATATAATTCATTATATCAAAGTTTTTTGTTATTTTTTTGGTTCAAACAGGACGCAGCTTGGTTATGCTCACCAAATGTTAGGAAACAACGATGAAGCAATGAAACTATACAACCAAGTTCTAAAATCAAAGTAAGGAATACCAATGTGTCATCATTATCTTAGCAATTTATCTTAGCATAATTTTATTGTATATAAATAGAATGTTTTTATCTCCATAGTACTTATCTTAGCATAATTTCATTGTATAGTGTTTTTTTTAATTGTCTTATTTTAGGGCCTCTATTGATAACAGTTTTTTGCAGTTTTGTAAATACTGAGAGAGTTACCCTGTTTAAATAAAGGACTCTATCTATCTATCTATCTATCTATCTATCTATTATTAATAATTTATTATAATGCTATAAATTCATACCTTTGTATATTTCTTTTGTCGTAGGCCTAATGATGTTGCCCTAGTTGCTGTTGCATCTAATAATGTCATAACATTAAATAAAGTAGGTTATGTTTTTGAAACATTATAAACTTTTGATTTTTATTATATTTTTGGCCTACACATTCAACTGTATTGTTGATCCACCCAACATAGAAACTTTGTTTGGGCTGCCTTTATGGAATGGTGTTGTCATGAGTAACATGCACAGCTTTTCCATGATACAGTATTTTTCATTCCTTTTTATTACGAATAGGAAAGAGATGTGTTTGACTCTAAGAAGAAAGTCAAGGCAACCACAGCAGAGGGTCTAGAGAACAAGCTGACTGACCAACAGTACCAGAAAATGCAGTTTAATAAATGTCTACTCTTTCTGTACTCCAATCAGGTTAGTTCACCTATCCCCCAGCCACCCCTCCCCTACCCCCATCAGGAGATATCTAAAAATACCTCAACCAATCAACTCTRCAGCTACCAACACCCCAGCCTTCCCACCCCCAACCCCAATCAGATTACTAAATACATCTCAACCGATCAACTCTGCTGTTATCCCACCTTCATCAGATTACTAAATACACCTCAACCAATCAGCTTTTCAACTACCTTAAACTAAGTTATTAAGTTAGTTAGTTACTAAGTTATTACAATTGAATTCAATTATGCATTCCTTTCAAGGTTCAAAGATTGAGGTTATATTTCAAAGGTTCAAACTTATTGTATTAACAATTGTATAACAACCAGTGTAATCCAAATTCAATTACCAACCATTTTAAACTGATCAGCGTAATTCATTATTAGATAAAGGAGTATGTAGCTTACTTTTTTGTTTTTCAAAACCCCGATCTCAAATAAACATTTTGAGGTAATGCCAGATTTGAAATTTTACGATGGTCGTTACCGGTAGTGCAAGAACCAAAACAAGATGGAAATCAAACTTGCAGCATTTTCTAACCTTTTTGGCTGTGTTGATTGTTTCAGCTGGAAGCTTGTGGCGCTATGATCAACTCCCTGGAAGAGAAATATAAAGACAGCGATTTTCCTTGCTTGATGAGGGCTTCACTATCATACAGAGAGAAGCAGTATGACAAGGCTACTAAAGTACTCCAGGTAGGTACCCAAGGAATAAAGAAGAGTGGTTCCTCAATTATACATAACATAATAAGCTAAACTCCAATTCAGCCTGTGAGTTACAATAGCTGTTTCCTGACTTTGATTGCACCTAGAAAATGTTTCAAATATTGATAAAATAGTACCTTTTCTTGAAATCTAGGTGTATTGAATATTAAAATATCACATTGGTGTGGCCATAGTGAGTTAGCCTGAGTTGGTTCTGGAATTTTCTTTGTAAAGTCCAAGAAAATTCTGGAAGCAAAGCAGGCTAAAATGAGTACAAATATTGGGGTCTATATCTTGCACCTCAGTTCTCACTAATTTACTTCATAGTTTAATGTTACATGTTGAGGTCTGTTAGTGAGTCTGTGTCTAAAATAATTGATAACTTATGGTTTAACCCCAGAATGTCTAATAATTCTATCATTGCTTTTTAATCAGGAGTATGCAAGAAAACACCCTAAAACAGCTACTAATGTGAAGATGACGCTAGTACAAATGTACCTTTCTCAAGGTAATGAATTGAATCACAGACTATTTAGTGGATATATATGCAGGGCATACATGTATATAACAGTCAGTCATCAGTCAATATAGGCCAGATTTGGAACTAAATTTCCAAAGAAATCTTTGCCTTGCTGGTCATTTTGACCGGAAACGTTGAGACAGAAATAAGGTGTATTGTATGCATGTGACCGAGCTAAAAATAATTTGGCTCATGATCATGACTGGTCGTTATGTGGTATTGAATACATTGTCTTTTTTCAGGCAATTTACTAGATGCTTGCTCTACATTGCATTCAATTGACGGACTGAGTCACAGGCCAGGAGTGGTGAGTATTTCATGCCGTATTTTATTTTGGGGCTTTCAGACAGTAAGAAATATACTAGTGAAAAGTTTAAAATTTTACGTCTGATTTTTTTCAGGTTTCTGCTTTAGTTACCCTATATTCACAGCTTGGAAATATAGACACTGCAATCTCTGTTCTTGATTCTGCTGTCAAATTTGCTCAAGAAAATAAGGTTTGGATATGTTTAGATTTCTCTGTACATCATCCATCCATCTGTCTACATCCATCCATCCATCTGTCTGTCCATCCATCCGTCTGTCCATCCATCTGTCTGTCCATCCATCCATCTATCCACCCCTCAATCCCTCCATCCCAACCATTTGCTCTTTTTTCGCAATTATAAAAACACTATAAATACAGTATAGCAATGAGCACACTAGATTTATTATATGTTCGCTTATGTGTAAAAATACTAAAATTAATATACACCTACTTGCAAGACCACATTGACATACGAAAATAGAACATAAGTGATTTAGTGAGATAGGAATTATATTAAAAAACAAAAGATCACTGAAGCTGGACTTTTTCTTTTGTCTTTTAATGTATTCCTTTCTCACTAAATTACTGTTCTATTTTCGTATGTCAACGTTCTTACAAGTAGGTGTATATTTGAATATATTATACAAGTTATATTAGACATTTTTCTGAAATATGTTTTGTAACAGTGATTTGGTTGTCTTATAGGATGTTCTCAGTCAGTCTGAAATGATTTCTCTCATGCGTGAAAATGTGGCCTACAAACTCTCTCATGGTCATGCAAAAGAAGCCATAGAAATGTTGGAAAAACTTCACAGGTAACAATTATTAAATCCTGGGAGCAAAAGGTACTTTTAATGATTGGTAGTGTAAGAACAATATATTGGTATGTTTTTCCTTCACCAACCAGTGATATGTTGTATTCCCTCAAGAATGGAATTTTGTGTTCGAGTTTCATCCAATATTAGTTTATCTAATCAAGTGTTAATGTTGAAGAATGAAATAATACTCAAGAGATTGAGGTGATTTGAAATAGGATTGATCAATAGAGTATATTCTATTTGTTCTGTATGAGGTTAAACTTTTCTCCTTTCCTTCCATTCAGGGAAGATCCAAACAACTTAAAGACCCTTGCACAGCTCATCACTGCATATTCTCAATTCAACCCTAAAGAAGCAGAAAAGTATCCTTTAGTTTCAACCTCATATTTTTAAAAAAACTGGTAAATATTAACTTGAGAAATCATTTTTAGCCAATGTTGTACTAATTTTTATATAGTCAGAGTTATATGCAGGTCCACATCAGCCTTTGGCTGCCTGAACTCCAACCTGCTTCAACAAAAAAAGTTGATTGATTGAGAGTAGATAAAATGCAGGTAAATGATCCAACTTGAGAGAGCTTGCATCTATAATACACCCTATACATTATATCCAAATATAACGGTAAGTTTAAACAAGGTCGTTGCAGACTTAACAGAAATATAGACACAGTACAAAGCTGCCGCCATTAGGAAATGAAACCAGTATAGATGTGGATGTCTTGGAAACAAGTAGTGTAGGCTCTGGGATGAGGTATGGGCGAAGACTGGGCCGTACACCAGATGATGCAAGCACCAATGAGGAAAGGTAAGTAAAGCAACAACAATATTTTCATATTTCTTGTTTTCTACTGTACTTGAAACTGTCAAATGAGGAAATTTTAAATTTAGCTATTTTGCCTTAGAACTTATTTTAAAAACCTTCTATTAAGGATCATTCTTGACATGTAGTTTGTTGAAAGAAATGCATCATTCTTCACATTCTGTAAACCTAATATTCAACAGAATATGTTTATCTGAGACAATTTCTCATATTGCCAATAAAATGATAGGAACCATTTCTTTAATGTTGTAGAATGGACATAATTATCAAGAGGAAAAGAAGAAAGAGGAAGAGAGGTTGGTCATGTTAATTTTATGTTCTCTGTTCAGTGTTTACAACTTGTAAAATCTTTTTTACAGTTTGAATTGACATTCCCATAAGAATCGAATGGTCCAGGTTCAGTTTTCGAATGTTATATTTCCAATTGTTTTTACTAGGTAAACTTCCAAAGAATTATAATCCTGAAGTGGACCCTGACCCTGAACGTTGGTTACCCAGGAGAGAAAGATCTTACTACAAGGGCAAGAGACAAAAAAAGACTGCAGTTGGTAAGAAGTGTTATTAGTCCTTTGTACATGAGATTATACCCTGTAAGAAAAGAACACAGAAGGAGAGATCTGAAAAGAGATCACTGAGATCCTTAGCCTATTGGAAATTTCTATAGAGGAGAGGGGAGGTGTGCATATTTTTCTTTGCCCTCATGATGCAGGTACTACCCTTAATAACAGAAAGACTTATTCATGAATAATTTCTCCTAGGTAAAGGCACCCAAGGATCTGCATCAGCTGGGACTGAATCGTAAGTAATAGTAGTAGTGTGTTGTATGGTGATTATCCATGAATAGGTGGACACAACGGCCCACTCTTGAGTAAAGAGACTAATGCTAGGGTATAGCTTTTAAAACTTGATACATGTAACTCTACTTTAATGTTGTTTACAGACCCAAGTCACCTGGAAGTCCTAAGCAATCCTCACCTCCAGGATCACCAGGGGGAAGTGCTTCGGTTCCCTCGAATGTTGTTCCCCCAAGACAACAACAACCACAAGCAGCAAAGAAAAAACAACGACCAAAAAAGAAAAAGGGTGGCTGGTAAATAGAACTTGCTTTACCTAGAACTTTGACTAGAACCAAGATATACTGTCTACAATACCTATAGGAAATGAAACATGTATTGGTAATATTAATAGTAATAAGGATGAAATAAAAAAATATTAAAACCAATATTCTTTAAACATTTTATTTAAATTTGGGAAGGTTTTTTTGGCTGAATTTGACATGATAATCTCAAATATATTAAATTATAACGATGACAGTTTTCAAATAATTCTTTTCTTCATTCTTTAAATACTTTGGTGACATTTAGTTCTTCTTTACTATTTGTCCTTTAGCAAGAGCTATTTCTTCTCCTGTATATGCTCGTAGCCGATACTCTAAAGCTTTTTTTTCATCCAGTTCCTTCTGAAAATTTTGAGCCTATGAAAACAAAAAAAATTTTTTTTGAACAAAATTAGGTATTTTTTAAATCTATTATTTTAGTATCTTGTAACTCTCTTCTCAAAGACTTTTATATCCCCCTTCCATTACCATGCCTAAAACTTCACTAACTCTTCCAGACCAAAAATGCTCCTCCC